AATTATTGCTGTGTGCTTTCCTCTACGTTTCATCAGATTGTTTTGATGGGTTTGTTTCTCGTTATTTGTTGGGGGTTTTTTTACTTTGCAGCAATTAAAACCCATAATCCAACGATCTTAATTGGCCTGTATAATTACAGTTTCTAACTTGCACGCAAAGCACCCGAGTTCACGTTCGTTTTGTCGATTATGTCTGTCTGTTGTCTATTTTTCATGTTTTGCTAGGTCCTTTGTTGGCGCTGACAGACATGGTTTAGGCTACCTGCCTCCTAAATTATCTAAATTTTAATTATGTTCATAGGTGCGAGACCTTGATATTGAAGTGCATGAATAAACATTTCATAATGATTATTAATCCCATAATATTCATCACGCTACAATAATTTGACAGATGGGGGTCATGCAAGGGCAAAACAGTTGAACGAGTTTTGCTCATTAACATGCTAATTTATTATTTTGTACTTATTTATTGCGCTTTTGCGTCATTCAAACCAAACCCCTAGGTGCTGCAGACTTTTTGTACTAGTTTTGTTGCTTTCTTGTTGTTGTTGTATAGGTTTTTATTTGTTTGTTGAATAAAACAACTGTGTAAAAGAGTAAAAGCAAGGCAACAATATAACATGTACTTTGAAATACGGTAATGCAATGTTTGTTTCTGTCTTTGTTTCTGTTTTATTTATGACGGTTTGAAATGTGCCACAACCTTGCTGTTGGCATGCTGGTTGGGTTATAAAATGGTGTCCTTATTAAAGAATTAATCAACAACGAGAGTCTCCCTCTTTCTGCTGGGACCCTCACCGCATGACCCGAGCGGGCACTGACAGGAAGGGTCAAAGCAACCCCTCTCCTAATGACCGTAATCGTTCTGATGAAGGCGTTCGTTCGTGTCAACACGGCCCACCTTGCATATTCAATAACTTCGACATCAGTGCAACTAATAAATAATGCAAAGCTTGTTTTTAGTTTTGTTTAAAAGTGTTACGCTCCAGTAGGGGATCAATTGGTTCCCGTCAAGGAGTAGCTTTCTCCTCGTGTGCAGTGCACTGGGCTGGGAAAACTGATTTAAAGAATAGAGGGAAAATTCTTGTTCCCAAAGTTCCGATTTAGCTGAACTTGTTCAACGGCAGCGATTATTTTTGCAAACTCTTTTCAAAGTTAATGACCCATTAGCTGGACTAGATTCAATCTTACAGAATTTACGTTTTGTTTTCTTGGCCTCACCGAATGTTTTGCGAAATTACCAAAACTAATTTAAAATAACTCAAAAATTATGAGTACGAACTCAAAACAATTCAAAATACATGTAACTCGAAATGATTAGGAAGAACTCAGAAATATTTCAAAACAACTCCCTTTTGAGAGAGGGAACAATTGGATCGGGTTGAATGCTCTGAAAAATGACGGATATTATGTTTTTGTTACCCGAGAGAGTGAGTTGTTGTTGTTCCCTTCAACACTAGCTGCGATTAGCGAACATTTATGAAGTTCACGGTGAATCTCCGGTTTGAAACGTTTCTTCCCACTCAACAAAATTATCACCAGCGAAATTACGCCATCGCTTTGTTCTTTTAAGAACACAAAATTCTGTTAGACTCAAGAGTCAACTCTGTTTACGGTTCAAAATAATTTGGCCTTGAAGTCTGTACTCTTGGATGCTGTTTATGTTTGGAAGACATGGATATTAGTGTCACCACGCGAGGAACCAAATTTGTCTCATCTAAAGTGTATAAATACCCATGTAGAGAGTGAGTTGTAAGGTCAAATACTATGCAAATTAACATAAAGCTACTTTGATGTCCATGTGGCTAGGGGTGAGGACAGTCATCCCATTCATTCAAAGTACACCATTCCTTTTACTATACGCAAAAAATGGTAATCATTTGGATGTTTTGCATTTTTACCTCAATTATTTTTTTACCGGTCTTTCCGTTGCTGCATTAATTTGTTCTTATTCTTTTGAACTTGGTAAAACAATAATAATGTACCTCAT